ACAACCAAATCACCCACGCCTCTCACAGACTCTCACAAGCAAATCACCCGCGCCTCTCACAGACTCTCACAACCAAATCACCCGCGCCTCTCAGACTCTCACAACCAAATCACCCGCGCCTCTCACAGACTCTCACAGACGGCATTTTCTTCTTGTTTGTCTCCTAGCCCCCATGGCCCATTTCTGTAATCTGCGATCTGAAGAGCGCTTTGCTTTTCTACCCACGTAAGCAAATCCACAGTATTATTTTCCTTGAACATTCAGAGACCATTTCTTAACGTAAATATATCTTACTGCCATCGAGGAACCCTAGGGTGACCGTCACAAGACAAGAATATATATGTGTCTCAAGGCTAGGCAAGTCTAAGACTATTCACAGGGTATTCTAACATGAACAAGTCCTGGGTGCAACAGTTAAGCGCTTGGCTGTTAACTGAAAGGTCAACGCTTCAAATCCACCCTGAGGCTGTGAGGGAGAAAGACCTGGCAATCTGCTCCTGTTAAAGATTACAGCCAAGAAAACTCTATGGGTTAGTTCTACTCTGTCATATGGAGTCACAATGAGTCGAACTGGACTTGGCAGCAACTGATAACAACATTCTCACATAGATTGATCTCCCTCTTCTTGCCAACAGTTTTGCTCATCATTACTTTCTCCTTAAGCCGCCACCTTTTCTATGTCAAATGCAGAATCTACTAGAAGGGACACTCAGTTCTGCCCATAACTAGCTGCGTGCCTTGGAAAAACAACTCACACCTGCCAAGCTCACAGTTCTCTCTGGCTCTGACGCCTCTCTCGTGCCTCAGTTAGATGACTTCAGATTCCTCCTGAGCACCGACTGTCACCTCTCGTGCAATGCTCAGTGTTCAGGCACGTAGATGACATTGATATGCTTTATTAAGACCCACATTATAATTGTGACTTATTTGTTTATGTATTCATATCTGATTTCTTCAACTAGATTTCTCTGATCAGACTATAAACAGCTGTCACATAGCGAGAGCTTTGCTATATTCTGGTTTGCTGATATAATTACTTGATTTAGCAAAAAATACAGCCAACTTTGATTACTTATGGAATTTTTCAGGGCCTTCCCTGACCACTCATGCTGTGACCACCCATGTCGCCTCCTCCCACTGATCCACCCACGCTCCCAATAGTTCTCTGTATCATTATCTTGTTGTACATTTGTTCAACAGCATTTAACACTCTCTGAAGTTCTAGCTCTCTATCGATCAATGGAATTATTGATCTATCATCTATCTACCAATCGTATCTATCCATCCATCCATCCATCCATCTCTATCTATCTATCTATCCATCTATCTACCTATCTATCATATCTATCAATTATATCTATCAATCATATCTATCATCTCTCTATCATCTCTATGGAGCCCTGGTGGCGTAGTGGTTATGAGCTCAGCTGCTAACCTAAAGGTTGGCAGTTCAAATCCACCAGCTCCTCCTTGGAAACCCTGTGGGGCAGTTCTACTCTGTCCTATACCGTCGCTGTGAGTCGGAACCGACTCGACAGCACCTAACAACACAACAACATCAACTCAATATCTATCATCTCTCTCTATCTCTATCATCTCTCCCTCTTTCTCTATCCTCCCTATGTCCATCATCTCTCTCTATCATTTCTCTTGCTAACATTGCTACCTCTTTCTCTATCATCTCTATCGCTATCATCTCTGTCTCTCTATCTCATCTCTCTCTCCTTTTTTCTAATCCATTGCCTGAAGCCTCCTACAAGGAGTCAAGTTCCATGAGATAAGGGACTGATCATGCTCACTGCAGCGTGTTAAGAACCTGGACCCATGCCTGGCGTACAGTAGGCAGTAAATAAATAAATATACATTGAATTGTTGAATTAGCTCCTCAATAGAGGGATACGGATTGCAGACTGAACAATCGAAAGGCACAAAAATACTTCACAAGCTTTACCTGCAAAGAGGTTCTACAAGCTCCTTCTCAAGAAAATCATGATCCTTCTTGACAGCCACGATGTTGATAGGGAATTGTGAATCTGAGAGAGAGAGACGTTAATGCACCTGGTTTTCTCAGAATGGGCACCAAGGCACCGTGGCCACCAAGGTTCTGGACAAGTCAGCGATCTCAGTCCACCTGCTCCCCAGCAGGGGCAAGATGGCAATGTTCAAGATAGCAGACGGTTGTATTTTTACCACAATAAGTGCTTTGAAGAGTACAAAGGAAGTGTGACATGTGAGAATAATCAAATACTTGACACTGAATGCAGCTGAATACTGAGTGGCTGAGTTTTTCCACCTCATCATGGTCCAGTCATGCTGATGGGGACTCAGAGGAAAGCTTCTACACGCCACCCGCCTAAAGCATAGGTAGCTGCCTTCTACCCCGATGAGCTCATGAAATATTTAGTTTGGCAGAATATTATTTTCCTTTAAGAAGGAAATTTCCCAAAATACCCCAAGCTCACTGGCCTCAAATGTTTTCTTTTGTAGCAAAATCCTGAGTCTCTTTGGAGTGCCAGTGAACTACTCAGCTAACTGACTCCACCCACAGAGAAGAAGACATTCCAATGCCAACACTTCTCTCCAGAAGGCTATTCAAGCCAGCGCTGCAGGTCAAGGGCTACACTCAGAGCGCGGTGCTAACTGAAGGTACCTTACTCGTGGCGGTGAGAAGCTGGAGCTCACCGGAACGGAGGCCGTGGTTACTCTAACAGACAACGCCGGGCGGTTCACCTCATAACCCTCCATTCCTTTCTCTTCCTCATTTTGTATTTTGCACTGCCCACCTCTTGCCATTATGACAGATATGTCAATGTTGGGTGCTGTCGAGTCCACCCCCACGCACAGCAGCCCCATGTGACAGAGTAGAACTGCCCCGTAGGGTTTTCTAGGCTATAGTCTTTACGGGAGCAGATTGCCAGGTCTTTCTCCCACGGAGCCACTGGGTGGGTTCGAACCACCAACCTTTGGGTTAGCAGTCGAGTGCTTAACCACTGCACCACCAGAGCTCCTTTGCGAAGCGATACTCATTTCTAAATTGGTATCAGCATAAGCCCTGGGGGTTGCAAAGGCTGAGGAAAAAAACGTAGCAAAGAAAACTGGTTGGGCAAAGACCTGGAAGTCAAAACACAGCCTAGGACATACGAGGCTCATTTCAAACGGCTCCCCTCTGGAAGGGGCAAGGGGTGGGCTGACGTACCCTCGTAGAGCTGAGAGTACTGTGGGAAGCCGGCAGCGCGGAGCCAGTCACATGCTTCCTTCGCCTCAGTTTCTGAAAAACACAAGACAGAGAAATGGATGAGTCCAATAGCCACACACCAGCACTCTGCCTGCTTCACCCAGGAAAGGACACTGGTGAGCCCTGTGCCCAGTGATCACAAAGCAAAATTGTTCTCAGGTGAGTCTGCGCGGGCAGGCATGCCCAGAAACGGGGGTCAAACGAGCAGGCGCCGCAGGTCTCTTGTCATGGGGTCTGTTGGGATTATCTCCAAGGCTGATGCCTAAGTACTCGGACAACACCAAAACCACAGATTACAGAGCACAAAGGCTGAGCTTCAGGCAGGGAAAAATGTTTCATTTATACACCAGGCAACCAGGGGGCTAGGTAGAGGAGGAAATACTTTATAGTCCTTTTTTTTTTTAAAGCGATTTTTCTTTTTGACATTTCAAAGATAAGGATAAGAATATTTATTCAATATTCCTTTTATTCTTTCACCCTAGATAATGAAAGAGGGACAAAGCTGGGTTAAAACTCGTTGCTGTCGACTCGATTCTAACTCACAGTGACCCTACAGAACAGGGTAGAACTGCCCCATAAGGTTTCCAAGGCTGTAATCTTTACAGAAGCAGATGCCACAGCTTTCTCCCACGGAGCAGCTAGTGGGTTTGAACCACGGACCTTTCGGTTAGCAGCTGAGCGCTTAACCACAGGACCAGCAGGGCTCCTCTAAAACTCGGCAGCCTATGGAATTAAATTTTTTCAAGAAGAAAGGTGCTACCAAAATCCAATGTAGTAGTATTTTTAAATTTTATGAATGGCCTGAAGGCCAGATGCATTGTTCAAAAAAACAAACCAGTTGCCTTCGAGTCAATTCCAACTCATGGCAACCCCATGTGTGTCACTTCAGAGCTGTGCTCCATAGGGTTTCCAACAGCTGTGACCTTAGGAAGTAGATCGCCAGGGCTTTCTTCCAAGGTGCCTCTGGGTGGGTTCGAACTGCCAACCTTTTGGTTGTCGTTGTTGTTGTTAGGTGCCTCAAGCTGGTCCAACCCATAGTGACCCTATGTACTACCGAATGAAACACTGCCCAGTCCTGCGTCATCCTCACAATCGTTGTTAAGCTTGAGCCTATTGTTGCAATCACTGTGTCAGTCCATCTTGTTGAGGGTCTTCCTCTTTTTCACTGACCCTGCACTTTACCAAGCATGATGTCCTTCTCCAGGGACCGACCCCTCCTGACAACATGTCCAAAGTATGTAAGATGTAGTCTCACCATCCTTGCTTCCAAGGAGCATTGTGGTTTTACTTCTTCCAAGACAGAGTTGTTCGTTCTTTTGGCGGTCCATGGTATATTCAATATTCTTCGCCAACACCACAATTCAAAGACATCAATTCTTATTCCGTCTTCCTTATTCATTGTCCAGCTTTCACATGCATATGATGTGACTGAAAACACCATGGCTTGGGTCAGGTGCACCTTAGTCTTCAAGGCGACAGCTTTGCTTTTCAACACTTTAAAGAGGTCTTTTGCAGCACATATGCCCAGTGCAATGCATCGTTTGATTTCTTGACTGCTGCTTCCATGGGTGTTGATTGTGCATCCAAGTAAAATGAAATCCTTGACAACTTCAATCTTTCCTCCATTTATCATGATGTTGCTTATTGGTCCAGTTGTGAGGACTTTTGTTTTCTTTATATTGACGTGTAATCCATACTGAAGGCTGTGGTCGTTGATCTTCATCAGTAAGTGCTCCAAGTCCTCTTCACTTTCAGCAAGCAAGGCTGTGTCATCTACATAATGCAGGTTGTTAATGAGTCTTCCTCCAATCCTGATGCCCGTTCTTCTTCATATAGCCCAGCTTCTCCAATTATGTGCTCAGCACACAGACTGAATGGGTATGGTGACAGGGTACGACCCTGACGCACACCTTCCCTGACTTTAAACCATGCAGTACCCCCTTGTTCTGTCCGAACAACTGCCTCTTGATCTATGTACAAGTTCCTCATGAGCACAATTAAGTGTTATGGAATTCCCATTCTTCCCAATGTTATGCATAATTTGTTATGATCCATGCAGTCGAATGCCTTTGCATAATAAAACACGGGTAAACATCTTTCTGGTATTCTCTGCTATCAGCCAGGATCCACCTGACATTAGCAATGATGTCCCTGGTTCCATGTCCTCTTCTGAATCTGGCCTGAATTTCTGGCTGTTCCCTGTCGATACACTGCTGCAGCCACTTTTGAATGATCTTGAGCAAAATGTTACTTGCATGTGATATTAATGATATTGTTCAATAATTTCTGCATTCGGTTGGATCACCTTTTTTTGGGAATAGGCCTACCTAAATATGGATCTCTTCCAGTCACCTGACCAGGTAGCTGTCTTCTGATTTCTTGGCACAGATGAGTGAGCACTTCCAGCACCGCATCCATTTGTTGAAACATCTCAGTTGATATTCCGTCAATTCCTGGAGCCTTGTTTCTCGCCAATGCCTTCAGTGCGGCTTGGACTTCTTCAGTACCATCAGCTCCTGGTCATATGCTACCTCCTGAAACGGTTGAATGGTGACCAATTCTTTTTGGTATAGTGACTCTGTATTCCTTCCATCTTCTTTTGATGCTTCCTGCGTTGTTTAATATTTTCCCCATAGAATTCTTCACTATTACAACTCAAGGCTTGAATTTTTTTCTTCAGTTCTTTCAGCTTGAGAAATGCCGAGCATGTTCTTCCCTTTTGGTTTTCTATCTCTAGTTCTTTGCAGAGGTCATTATAATACTTTACTTTGTCTTCTCAAGCCGCCCTTTGAAATCTTCTGTTCAGCTCTTTTACTTCATCATTTCTTCCTTTTGCTTTAGCTACTCGACATTCAAGAGCAAGGTTCAGAGTCTCTTCTGACATCCATTTTGGTCTTTTCATTCTTTCCTGTCTTTTTTCCTGCTTTCTTCATGTATGACGTCCTTGATGTCATTCCACAACTCATCTGGTCTTCGGTCATTAGAGTTCAACTCGTCAAATCTATCCTTGAGGTGGTGTCTAAATTAGGGTGGGATATACTCAAGGTTGTACTTTGGCTCTCGTGGACTTGTTCTAATTTTCTTCAGTTTCAACTTGAACTTGCATATGAGTAATTTTGATGATCTGACCTGCAGTCGGCCCTTAGCCTTGTTCTGATTTGATTCCTGTGTATTCCATCTGGTGAGGTCCATGTGTATAGCTGCCGTTTATGTTGGTGAAAAAAGGTATTTGCAATGAAGAAGTCGTTGGTCTTGCAAAATTCAGTCATGCTATCTCCTGCATGGTTTCTATCACCAAGGCCATATTTTCCAACTACCAATCTTTCTTTGCTTCCAACTTTTGCATTCCAACTACCAGTAATTATCAGCACATTCTGATTGCATGTTTGATCAATTTCAGACTGCAGAAGGGGGTAAAAATCTTCAATTTCTTCATCTTTGGTCTTAGTGGTGGTTGTGTAAATTTGAATAATAGTCGTATTAACTGGTCTTCCTTGTAGGCGTATGGATATTATCCTATCACTGACAGCACTGTACTTTGGGATAGATCTCGAAATGTTCCTTTTGATGATGAATGCAGTGCCATTCCTCTTCAAGCTGTCATTCTTGGCATTGTAGACCATATGATTATCTGATTCAGAATGGCCAATACCAGTCCATTTCAGCTCACTAATGTCTAGGATAGTGATATTTCCACGTTCCATTTCATTTTTGACGATTTCCAATTTTCCTAGATTCATATTTCGTACATTCACATTCCAGGTTCCAATTATTAATGGATGTTTGCAACTGTTTCTTCTCATTTTGAGTTGTGCCACATCAGCAAATGAAGGTCTCGAAAGCTTGACTCCATCCATGTCATTAAGGTCGACTCTACTTTGAGGAGGCAGCTCTTCCCCAGTTGTCTTTTGAGGGGGGGGCTCATCTTCTGGCACTGTATCAATGTTCTGCCGCTATTCATAAGGTTTTCGCTGGCTAATTCCTTTCAGAAGTAAACCCTGGGTCCTTCTTCCTAGTCTGTCTTAGTATGGATGCTCAGCTGAACCTGTCCGCCATGGGCGACCCTGCTGGTATCTGAGTACCAGTGGCCTAGCTTCCAGCATCACAGTATCAGGCGATCCCCCACAGTAGGACAGTCAGACAGACATGTGGGGGACCTTGCGGTTAGCTGTGCTGTTGTTGCGTGCCACCGAGCCGATTCCAACTCCTAGAGATCCTACAGGACAGACCACCGCGAGACGTTCGTTAACCAAGTACGGCTGTAATGATCTTAGAAGGCACAGAGCAGCATGTGAGAGTAAAGCTGATGATCACCAACTGAGAAAGGAGCTTGGCGGGGCTGTCCGTGCCTCTGATGGCCAAGCCCGGGGCATGCCCTTTGGATGACCATTCCTGGCAGACGTAGACAGCAACAGCCCCCAGGATCACCTGCCCAGAGAAGCCGCGGGGTGAAATGGGAGGGGTGTGCAGTCTGTGACCCAGGTCAGCATCTGACCCGGTGAATCCTGGACCGCTTCCCAGCCACAGCTCTGTTAGAGAAATACGAACACAGGAGACAAGAGGTTTATCTGCCAAAAGGTCAGTTTTTCCCAAACAAAAGTCAACAGCCCATTCTAACAGGTCCCTAGCCGGCCCCTCCTCCCCTGTTGGGATGGGTCCCGGGCAGGTCACTGTGTTTCCATGTACTCGGACGCT